ATTTTTTTCATACGAACTTAACTATTCTTTTTCACAGACCATGCACAACTCTTTTTTGTGATTCTTCTTCTTTATCTCTCTCTTCTTATGTTGTGAGTAATTGCATTATTTTTGCTGACATAAACACACCAAGCCTCACTCTAATAAGGAAACACACAAACAACCATACACATTATTCAATATATTTTCATATATTATTGAGAACTATAGCTTCATCGAATATTGCAGTAAACCACAAGCTTTTGTTAATTATTTCTTTGATATTATTTGTTATTTTTCGATTAGCGGTTCACGAGTGGAATTAAAGAAATGCATTTGTTAGCACTTTTAGTTGATTTTGTTATTTGTATTTCTCTCTATGTCTCTTTACTTTTACACTTTACTGGAAGATTTATTCATTTGTTGACATTTTGTTTTATTAATTTTGTTATGATTTTATTTTTCTACAAATAACTTCACATTTTATTATTTATATTTAGGAATCATTTAAAAATATTTATTGCATTGAATTGTTTAGCATTTCCGACACGCCGCGGCGGCACGTTCATATCCTCACGCGTCAAAAATACAAGTAAAGTGACAAAGAGAAGAGAGCTTATTTATTCCTTTGACAAAATGAAATGCAGTTACTATAGTTGCATTTCAAGCGTTTAACGCTTTGAAGATAAAATGGGTACATTTAAATAGATTAAAACCATAAAGTGGTTGTTTTAAAGTTCCGTAGCCTGGTTTCTGATTGTGGGTTTTAACATAACCCCCATTTTTAACATTTTTTTAACGCCCTAAAATATATTTATAAATCTGTTTAATAAAATCCCTTATTTACATTTGGTTTGTTCCAGAACTGCAAGAATGTAAAGTTTCTACTACGATACCAACTTTTCCCTTTATGATATCGTAAAATTGCAAAACTAGTAGATTCTTGCAGATTCTGGAACAGGCCAATTGTGTGTACCTCTAAATATACCTCAAATGAGTGAGACACCTTCGTAAAATGCGCTAAGTGCTCTTGTAAATATGGTTATTGGCACCTAAATTAAAAGTTTTAGTAAATACATCATTTCTATACAGCATATTCAAAAGGATTGGTCATCTGAATGATGCGTTTTAATAAAAAAAAAATGGTTTGATTACAATGTAGACTTAGGCTCTGATCCAAAATCTGCAAGAATCTACTAGTTTTGCAATTTTACGATACCATAAAGAGAAATATGGTATCGTAGTAAAAACTTTTACATTCTATATAGTGAGCTTTTGCCTTTTCTCATTAATGCCTTATTTTCACCGACATGTTGTCGTAAAACCCGCTATTTAGACTGAAATACAATTAAATATGGAATAATTTTATATTTTTATTTCAGATATTTACCTTAAACTTCAAAAGCGCAACGCTTGGTATGTAAAATACGTCCAATAAGAAGTTTAAATGAGAATGAGAGTCTAACTGCACTATTGTGAATTGTATCGCTTTTTAACCATCGCCGATGCATAATTGGAAGCTGCATTCTGTTGTACGACAAATCGGAAATATTTAATTATTGTAGACGTTTGCTTTTTTATACCCTCCACTACGCATAGCATGGAGGGTATATTAAGTTCGTCGTACCGTTTGTAACTCATCGAAATAATTTTAGACCTAACAAAGTATATATATATTCTTGATCAGCGTAAAATTCTAAAACGATTTGGCCCCGTCCGTTCGTCCGTCTGCCCGTCTGTTGTGATCACGCTACATTCAAAACGAATAAAAATAGGAAGCTAAAATCTGCATTATCCATTACGAACATTAAATACCAAATTTCACACAATTCAGGTGAATAATGTCGCTAAAATCATCAAAATACCAAATATCGGGAGGTACAGTTATATGGGGGCTATACGAAGACGTGGACCTACACCTACAATTTTCTGCCATAGGCTGTAGTATTCATTACAAACTTAAAATACCAAATTTGAAACAATTCCGGTGAATAATGTCGCTAAAATCAACAAAGTAACGAATATCGGGAGATATCGCTATATGGGGCTATACGAAGACGTAAACTCTCACACACAATTTTCAGTCATAGGCTATAGTATCCATTACGAACTTCAAATACCAAATTTGAAAGAATTCCGTTGAATAATGTCGCTAAAATCAACAAAATACCGAATATCGCCAGGTACCGTTATGTGGGAGCTATACCAAAACCTGGACCTACATGGCCCATTTTCAATATCAAAAGTCCTGCAGACATAATACATAATGAATAATACATTTGAATTTTATCAATCTACTTCATTTCATCGTTCGGAAGCTAGAGGGATTTCCACAGACGGACGGACATCGCTAAATCGACATAGAATTTTATGCTGATCAAGAATATACATACTTTGTGGGGTCAAAAATGTATATTTCGAGGTGTTATAAACGGAATTACAAACTTAATATACTCTGCATACTATAGTGGAGGGTATAAAAATAAAATGGCGACAAGACAAGATTGTTTTATTCCAAAATAATACATTTTGTTGCTCGTTAACGTAAAAAAATATGCGTTTCTGTTTTCTCTAAATATTATATGATTTAAAATTATTTTCTTTTTTTGTTCAAAACAATACATAGACGTATACACACTGCATATATGTTTTGACAGAATAGGGGCACCAAAGGAAAAAATGTATTTAGGAGGTAGCTTTGTTCTACCAGATACCAGTCTATACGACATGTTACAGTCATATGTCAAGTGTATTTCACATTTTTATTTTATAGCATACTTTTAGAAGCGCACAATCATTTTTAGACTTAAAGTATGTTTACATTTAAAATCTCTATCTGGATTTTGGCTTTGTTTATTTTTATTTTTTTTTTAAATAGTTCTTATATTGGGAAAACTACGCGAAAGAAGAATGGATTTTCGGGGTTATTCCACAAGTGGAATCTATAATAGTAGGACAATACAGTTTTATCGCAAATTGTACAATTTGTTCCCATATATGTCGAAAATTTGCATTTATTTTGCAACCAAATTTGAAATAATTTCAAATTATTGTATGTTTTATTCAAAACAATACACACACATGCACACAAAATGTGTATATGTTTTGACAGAATGAGGGCACCAAAAGAAAAAAATTGTATTTGAGGTAACTTTGTTCTACCTCCTGTAATTGTGCCATGGTTATTATTACCTTGGTTATTACCTTTAATATGCGCTTTGCAATGTACGTTGCTTCCAATCACTGATTTTGAAAATATTTTGTTTTCGCTTTTCAAAGCAATACAAAATATATACACAAATGTTGTGTTCCAGAACCTGCAAATTAGTACTAATTAGCACTAATTCTGCTACAACGCGTTCCCGTACTCCAAAAACTAGCAAAACTTGCAGCTCTCTCGAGAAAAAAATGGCGCTGAGTGGTGCACATTTCTGCTTGTTTTAGCTACATGAATTTGGCCGAGCAGAAATGTGCAACTTGTAAATTTGACATTTAATTGGCAGGGCTAACAAGGTTGAAAAATGTATTGATACATTTCAATAAAGAAAATGATCTACTTGAAAACTAAAGGAAAAACTAATATTTGTCGTGCAAAAAACAAAAAGAGAAAATATGGAGCAACTGATGTATTCACTTTTGGATGATTCTAGCAGTGAAGAGGACTGGCTGAATGAGGAATCAGATTATTAATTATTAATATAAATTATTAATTTTAACTTATCGTCTTCAATACTCATTTTTTTAATGTTGGCGCTCTTTTCAGTAAGGTTTCACCAGTCCGATTTAGGCTGTTTACTTTTGGAATTTTGAATTTTGACATTTTATCGCATTTCTGCTAATTTTCCGTTCCTTTATTTTTTCAGCAAACCTAAATGAGAATGACATTTCGAACTGTTCTCCCTTCTGCTAGTTTTACTACTAAAAAAGTACTGGAACACAACTAAAGTTGGCAGAAGTCGGGTATACTTAGAAAAACTTGTAATCAGCTGATAGTTTTTCCTTACATTTTTATTGTGCCTTTCAAGAATCTACTAGTTTTGCAATTGTTTCAATATCATAAAGGAAAAATCGGTTATCATGTTAAAAACTTTTACATTCTTGAAGTTCTGGAACAGAACAACAGTAAAATACAAGTCTGATTGAAGACAATTTGTCTATTTGTAAACGCCAAGTAAGGAAACGGCTTTATCGACAGCTAACTTCTTGTGATTGTTGTTTTATCGATTATGTGTGACACGAAAGAAAATAGCTTATTTCTCTTAAATATTTCAAAGAAGATGTATGCTGTGTTTTCCTCATTTTTTCAATAATATTCAAAATAAATCAACCAAATTAATTTTCATTTATTCAATATACCCACCATGAAACTGCCGTTCCCTTTGTGGGTATATTAATGACGGGTGCGATGAAAAACGATGTTGTGACATTCAGTCATGGTCTTTTTGTAGCCATTATTCGCGCCAAGTAATAATACCGTTAAAACTCCAGGGAGGCGTTTAGCATCGATAAAACGGGCTCCTTGTGGCTTTTGTTTTATCGATAACATATAAGGCACAAAATGACTAAAGGAATAAGCAGACTGAAGGCGACACGCGTTATTTCATAAATGTATACATATTTAAGCTGCTCAACAAAAAAGCTGGCCACCAAAGAATTGCCACTTGCAGATGATGAATCTGCCAAGACAGCACCAAGTTTACACATCCATTCAATATCTCTAAGATGATGAAGTTGCATATGAGAGTGCCACTTATTTTTGATATCAATATTATTATTTTTGTGTCAATAAAGTGTTCTCCTTGTGTTTGTTATTTTACCGATTGCACGTGACATTAAATAACACGCAGCACATTCATTTTGTTTTGCCATTCATCGCGCTCTTTCTTTTTAGCATTTTACGTTGGTTTTATTGTGCAGTGCGTTAATTCTGTTTTGCCATTTATCGATATAACAACGATCACAAAAGAACAAATGAACTAACGTTCAAAAGTGTTGGATCAAGTTCCGATGGTTCCTTTTATGGAATAGTTACTTTGAACTAGTTCGTTCCGGAACGACACAACTCTACAAAATTACATGAAAAGATTCTTTTAAGAAAATACAAAAAAAATAGAAAGTATTTTCGTATAATAACAAAATCATGTCAAGTTTACAACGAACAGTGCTAAAAGGTCGTTTGCCTCCCACAATTCCTGGCACAAGAATTGGTCGCAGGTTTGAATGAAATGGCGAATTTTAGTTTTTCATCCCACAATCCTTTTCCTATCCTTTTAGCGATTCTTTTAAAAAATCAAGAGTGAGAGATTTCAAACCATCACTGTGGAGTGAATTCTTTGCCGAAAAGGAGGATGTCCAAGTCGATGAGAAGCGTTTATTCCGCATATATCGCACAAAACAGCCGGAAAAGCCGGGACCATTGTTGTTACTCTTGCATGGCGGTGGATATTCGGCATTAACATGGGCTCATTTTTGCGTAAGTTTACTTTTAAAGGATTTGATTTTTTAAATTATTTTATTTTCAACTTTATATTTGCAGACCGAAATAACCAATATGATTCATTGCCAATGTCTATCTATAGATCTGCGAGGCCATGGAGACACAGTTACCGATGATGATGATGACTTGTCTGCAGATACTTTGGCTAAGTAAGACAATTGTACCGATTGCGGGTTCTTTGGAAAACTAAGTGTTTTCGGAGCAAGTTGAATTTAGGGATCATTTTGAAATTTTTACCGCAGATGGGGATTTTTAACCTGATTTAGGAAAAGCAATTTTTTCTTGGGAGAGATATCCGGTTATTTAACCCGAAAGTTCGAATACAACATCCGGTTTTTATCAGGTTCTACAAAACTGTTATCTACAAAATGGGTATCATTTGAAAGCTTATGGAATTACCTATCCAACTTGAAAATTGGCCCATTATGGGGTTTTAATATCTACATGCTACATTAATGCCTAAATTGTCTTTCCAAAATGGTATGCGTAGCCGGTGTTGGGCATACCCCAAAATCTCAACCGAAGGCCGGCTACCTAAGAAAGGTTAGATACGTATTAGTGGAGCAAATCTCAATTTCATAATATCAACAATACAACAATATCTTTGGAACTATAAGAGATATCAGCATATGACCACTTGTGGAATGTTGTATCCCAATTTTCGGATCAAATAACCGGGTATTTCCCCCACGAAAACATTACTTTCTATTAATCAGGTTAAAAACGCCTACCTGTGGTAAAAATTGATCCAAGCATAGCCCCTAAACTCAATTTGCTCCAGTTAATCTAGATTTCATGAGTGGTTTCATTAATAAACTATTCATTTAACACTAGCAGTCGAGAGGGGAATACACACTTCATAATTGTTATTATTATATTTCATTATTATTATCAATTTCATTACCATTATTTTAGGGATATAGGTGATCTCCTGTTGAAACTTTATCCAACAAATATGCCACCTGTTTATGTCGTTGGTCATTCTATGGGCGGTGCTATTGCTGTACATTTTGCCCATTTGGAGTTAATTCCAAATCTGATTGGCATCACCGTCATAGATGTTGTCGAGGGAACTGCCATGGAAGCTTTGGCAAGTATGCAAAGTTTTTTACGTTCGCGACCACAATATTTTAAAAGTATACCAAATGCTATTGAATGGTGCATACGTAGCGGACAAATACGTAACATTGATAGTGCTAAGGTTTCAATGCCGGGACAAATAATTAAGTAAGTATCTTGTTTTGATGGATGATAGATGAGAAGATTGCATTTTTAATTTATACATATTCAAGCTGCACAACAAAAAAGTTGGCCACCAATGAATTGCCACTCGCCGATGATGAATCTGCCGAAGATACTGCCAACACCAAGTTTACACATCCTTTCAGTATCTCTGAAGATGAGGAAGTTGCCGATGAGGGTGAGGAACCGAAATCTCCCGAATTCAAAAGACCCACAACAACTGCCACCGAAGAGAACACCAAAAAGCAAGTGTAGTTTTAAAGTATTTCTTCTGCTTACTAAAATATTTTGTATTACAGATACACTTGGCGCATAGATCTATCAAAGTCCGAAAAATATTGGGTTGGCTGGTTTTCGGGCTTAAGTGAGAAGTTTCTCAATTTACGTTTGCCCAAACAACTTTTGTTAGCCAGCATTGATGGTCTAGACAAAGCTCTAACTGTAGGCCAAATGCAGGGACGTTTTCAGATGCAGGTTTTGGCTCGTTGTGGCCACGCTGTACACGAAGATCGCCCACATGAAGTAGCCGAAGTACTTAGTGGTTATTTGATTCGCAATCGTGTGGCCGAAACAGCAGGAGAATTTCGTTGTCATATGCCAGCTTGTTAAATTTGGCCAATGGATCTCTGCCCTATTGCATACTCTCACACACACACACTTCCAAAAATGTGTCAAGTAATGCAAAATAAAGCCAATAAACGGATTTTATTTGTGATTATGAAATTTTTATGATATTTTCCCCAAATTTGGTCACAATTTCTTATAAATAAGAAAACATATTTATTATTACAACAAAATAATAAATTTATGATATCAATTACTAAAACTTTATTAAATTATAAGTATTCATATTAATTTGCGTTCATCGATTTTGGCTTGAAATAAATTTCAATAACAAAACTCATTTATTTTTCTATGAAAGCAATTGTGTTAGCATGTTCTCTAAGCCCACAATGGAACTAATTCATAAAATTTGTGTTAAAAATGTATTTATTTGAAAGCATATTGGAAATGTTCACAGAGACAAAAAATATTCGTGCAAGTTATAATGAAAATTATTACTCCAAGTAACAGATGCCTTTATTTTTTAAATGCCGTTTTGTTTCGATTGATTTTATTTGGCGCAAACGTTGGGCAATTTGTTCACGTATCTCGTCGCGATACCGTTTACCTTCTCCCAAAGCTTCCATTTCGGCAAGCCATTCCGCACGTTCGTTTATTTGGTCTAATACTGAAAAAAAAATAAGTAAAAAATAACAATTGCTGATATTAATTTATGACTACCAGATATAACCTGATCTGATTTACAAGGATGTATATTTAAAATTTGATAACTAGCAAATATTTTTTTTTTTTTTTTTTTTTTTTTTTTTGTTTAATTGTTTAATTTATTGAATCTTTCATATATTTAATGAAAATAACAATAAGGTTTCAATATTTGATGCCATTCCTTATTACATCTGCAATTCAGTGCAAATATGTTAAAGACGTTCTGGTGGACAACAACAATACACAATCTTCTAAATATGATGCATGGTTAATGTAAATGGATGCAGTGCAATAGTAACTTTACTACATCGTTGGAAACCGCATCAGTTGGGTATCAAAATATCGAACAGTTGTCATTCGCATATTACGTACTCAACGTCTTATATTTTTCTTCTCTTAAAATAATAATATGCTTTGTCAAACCCCCGGTTTTGGAAACGTCTTAATATGAATAAGTTATGTGCTTCGAAAATTTGATGGAGTTTATTCTATTTCCTAGATGACGTACAAGGGCAAAAGATTGTTCATCTGATAGGGTGAGAAAAAAATATGAGTCGGTGTGTCGAAAAGCATATGCCTTTAAGTTTAGAGTATTAACCTATTTTGTGAGAGTTATAATTATTCAATATTTGTATAACCTCTACCATAGTATGGAGGGTATATTAAGTTTGTCATATCGTTTTTAATACCTCGAAATATACATTTTGGACCCCACAAAATATTTATATTCTAGATCAGCATAAAATTCGATATCGATTTAGCGATGTTCGTCCGTCTGTGGAAATCACTCTAACTTCTGAACGAAATGAAATATGTTGATAAAATTTTACTAAAATTATAATATACATTTCTGCAGAACTTTTAATATTGAAAATGAGCCATGTAGGTCCACGTTTTGGTATACCTCCCTATTTTCGGTATTTTCATGATTTTAGCGACATTATTCACCGGAAATGTTTCAAATTTGGTATTTGAAGTTCGTAATCGATCGATGGTACATCCCGATATTCGGTATTTTGATGATTTTAGCGATATTATTCACCGGAAATGTTTCAAATTTGGTATTTGAAGTTCATATTGGATACTACAGCCTATAACAGAAAATTGTCTGTGCACGTCTTCGTATAGCCCTCATATAACGGTACCTCCCGATATTCGGTATTTGAACGATTTTAGCAACATTATTCACCGGTAATGTTTCAAATTGGGTATTTGAAGATCGTAATGAATGCTACAGCCTAAGACTGAAATTTGTCTGTGCGGGTTCACGTCTTCGAATAGCCCTCATATACGGCATGTCCCGATATTCGGTATTTTGATGATTTTAGCGACATTATTCACCGGAATTGTTTCAAATTTGGTATTTGAAGTTTGTAATGGATACTACAGCCTATGACAGAAAATTGTCCATGCAGGTCCGCATCGTCGTAAAGCCCCCAACGATTTTTTATTGATTTTTATTATTTTATGCATAAGTCCACGTTTTGGTATAGTCCCCATTTAACGGTACCTCCCGATATTGGGTATTTTGATGATTTTTGTCACATTTTTCCACAGATTTGTTCAAAAATTGGTATTTATAGTTCGTTATAGCTCCAGTGGCAGAACATTGAATATTTAGGTCCACTTTTTCCTATAGCGCACATATAACGATACCCACCGAAATTCGGTATTTGGATAATCCTAGTCACATTTACCCACGAAATTGTTTCAAATTTGGTATTTAGGGAAGATTTGCTAGATGACAATGCTTAAAGTATAAAATTGTATATAGAGGTCCCCGTTTTGGTATTGCCCCCATACAACGAATCTAAGCATTGATGTGATAGAAATCTTACGATACATAATGTTTGACTTATATCGGATACTTTCTTCGCTTTATATGATGTAAGTATAGTTTTTGAAAATTTTCGATAAAGTAAAACTATGGCAGTATAAAATGATGTATAGCAATAAATGATATATGTCCTATTCTGTTGGAACCTTTACACTTACATTCATTGATTATATCATCCGTTGTTGCAGGTGGTTCAGGTTTCGTTTTCTGTTTACGCTTCGGTTTCAAAGTAGTTTCAGACATACGAAAGCCCGACATTGCTTCTTGTAATAATTTTTTCGATTTTTCCGAAGGCATCTTATCGTCAGGTTTTGGACGGTACCGTGGTGTTTCATAAGCTCCACTTGCTTTAATTTCGGTTAGTGATTTTCGTTTAGCATTGTGGGCTTTACGTAGAATTTCTAAAGCTTCGGTATCTGGATCTTTGAAGATATTTATTCGTCTTGGTTCCGGTTTGGGCAGTGGTTCCCCATTGCGTAAATGATGATCGATTTGTTTCCGCATTAGCATTGTCATTTTAGACTCTTTCATCAGCACTATTGAAAACGATAAGTGGTAGATCATGGGTTTGAATATAAAAAAATAGGATTTTGATGGAAGGGACATTAGAAAATGTAATATTATAAATTTACTGGACATTTCAAAATCGGAAATCAGATGAAAATGATTTTGTTTAAGCGAGAGAAGAAAATTCTAGGTCGTACTAAAATTAGCTTTCTTTAAGATAATTTGCTCTGTTACTCGATGAATTCAAATCATATTTTAGGTGGATAATATTTACGTAAAAAATAATGTGTAAAATGTGTAAAAAATCTCACGTTCTACATATATGTATGTGAAAATCATTCTACTTACATTTCAATAAATCCGACGTTTCTTTGCTATATTGAATTTTCGGTGTATGAAAGAGTCCACCTTGAGGGATACGTTCACTTGGCCACATTTTGGGCTGATTTTCTGTTGCCGAGTTCATGTTAATGTTCATATTCCCTTCTTGAGAAGATGTTTTAAATTTGTGTATGTTATCCATGTTCGATCTGTTTGTTGCGATGTTTTTTTTTTTTCAATTTTTATATGAATATGTTTTTATATTTATATGGTAAGTCAGTTTAACTTCGTAAACAATAAAAAGTTGAACGGAGCACCAAGGCAACGGAAAATTTATTTAAATTTGAAGGGGTTGTTTGGAAGTTCGTTATTTATTAAGAGCTGTATGTGCATGATAATGTTACGTATGTATGCATACTTAACGTATGTGTAAAGATCATAAATTAAATATGTTTATTAATAATAGGTTGAGATTTCGATACTGCTGCCATATTAAAAAGAATGAAATAAAGGCTCCCAAACAGATAGTTGTCTGTGGGCAATGTGGAGTGCGCTCAATATATTGCTTAGCTCTTACAAACCTATATATATATAAGGGGGAAAATGTTTCTATGTTTGTTTGTAATTTATGGACTCGAAACCGCTACAACATCGCCTGAAAGTAACTTAGGATATATAAATTTTTGAAATTCGACTTGGAACTGAAGATATAGCATCAGAATTAAAGGCATCTTTTATAAATTTAGATTTTATATGCACATGTCTATTGATCGATTACACATACAGTCTCCAAATTTGGAATAAAAATATATTTGTCAATTTTTTTTTGAAATCGGCTCAGATTTGGATATAGCTCAGATATATATTTTCGGCAGATTTCACAAATTCGATGCACCAACACGATACGTATGTTCGATTCTAATAAAATTCGGAATGAGTGACTAAATTTGGTACAAAAATAAATTTGACAAATCAATTAGAAATCGTTTAAGATTTGGATATAGCTCCCATATATTCTTGGCCAATTTCATATATTTGATGCACCAAACACGGTATGTACCTCCAATTTCAATGAAATATGGAAGGTGTGACAGAATTTGGTGTAAAAGTAAATTTTGTCAAATTACAGGGAGAGATAAAAAAAAACTGCAACAAAGTCAAACTTTATAATTTTTACATTTTTTTTAAATTTTATTGAATGAAAGCAAAAAATGTCGGAAATATCATCAAATTTTAGAATATATTTAGATTTATTCGAATTGGTCACCATTGGTGCGAATTATGGCCTTCAAACGGCCAATGAAACCTGCCACGCTGTCCGAATGTTGCTCTGCGGTATTTTGGCCCATTCCCGGCGAAGCGCTTGCTTGACGTGATCGACACTTTGGTATTTTTTAGTGCCAACCTTGCTTTCCAAAATACTCCAGACACAATAGTCCAACGGATTGGTATCCGGAGATTTTGGTGGCCATTGTGCGCTGGAAATGAAGCGAGGAACCTCATTATAAAACCATTCTTGGGTGGCACGTGCTAAGTGCGATAGTGCTGAGTCCTGTTGGAATGCTTGCGTGCCCAAGGCTTTAATAAACCCTCCAGAATATGTTCGCGATTATATTCGGCATTTATTCTGATGCCACGGTCGATTAATACGAGCGGAGAGCGACCATCGGATGTTATGGCGGCCCACACCATCACCATGACCGGCGCTTGAGTTCTGGTGGCCAACCGAAGGTGCACATTTTCAGCTGACCTCTTTGGCAAGTAAACACGATCATTTTGTTTGTTTACAAACTGCTGGACAGCAAAAGTTTTCTCATCGGAGAAAACCAAATTCTGCAGTTGACCACTTCCGGCCAAGCGAAGCAACTCTTTAGCTCTTTTGAGTCTATTTTCTTTCTGTTGCGGTGTAAGTTCTTGCACTTTTTGGAATTGCAATGGCTTTAGCCCGAGCTCATTTTTCAATTCCGAATGAAATATTGCGATATGTTCAGCTTACGAGCCATTTTCCGACCACTGTTACGCGGGTTTCGATCAAGTCGCTTCTTTACTTTTCGAACCATTTCTGCTGATGTTGACGTCGGGCTACGCTATCATCGTACGTATCACGATAACGAGCGATGATACGAGACACAAAAAATTATTCAAATTTAAATGCTGGAGTGCTCTAACGATAGCCACTTGTTGTTTTTCAGCCAAATATAAAGAAATCACACTATCACGATTGAATTCCATCACGAATAACTTTTTTCTGGAAAATTCTCACCAAAATGCTTTGTACGCTTGTAAACAATATAATGAGCTGTTACTGGAATAATGTCGGACGAGTGGATTAGAAATGACAGCAGTCTGAAGTTGGTTGCAGTTTTTTCTGTATATTGAAATCGGTTTAGATTGGGAAATGATTTTATTACGAAGCATTGACCCACAACGCCTTTGCAATGGTATTAGACTAACAGTAAAAAACTACAAAACAATTTAATTGAGGATATCAATATTACGGGAAGGTTCTTGCTACCTCGTATTCTCTAATTGCAACAGAAATTCTATTCAACAAAGATTGCAATTTACGGCACGCTTGGCATTTCCTATGAAATTAATAAATCCGAAGGACAAACCCTTCGTGTATGAGGGCTAAATTTGGCATGTTCCTGCTTTTCTCATGGTCAGCTGTTCTAGGCATGTTCACGCATTGGTAGGTCGAGCCATTTGTGTGTTTACGCATTAAACTATTACAATAATTACATTTTTTTAAATTTTGAATTTTTTATACCCTACAACACTAAGTGTTGGGGGTATTATTAGTTCGATTGGACCAAAAATTATGTAACACCTCGAAATATTGGTTTCCCACATCGGAAAGTATATATGGATCTTCCTATCTCGCCGAGATGAGTCGATCTAGCTATATATGTCCGTCCGTCCGTCTGTCCATGTTAATTTGTAATCACTCTACAGGTCGCAATTATGACCCGATCCTCACGAAATTGGTCAGCCATGGGTTAAGGTCAGAATAGAACCCTATTTCTTTTGGAGAAGATCGCATAATATTTAGGGGTTGAAATGGACCAAAAACTGAAACATTTCCTGATTTTGCAGTTGCTCTACAGGTCGCAATTATAGACCAATCGATGTGAAAGTCAGCATGGGGTTAGATCTTAGAGTTGGGCAGAAGCATTCCAAGACCATAACAATTGTGTTAAATAAAAGTCAAATTTTTCCTTAGACCGCGAATATTTTTAATCCCGGCGAAATCACATATAGACGAACAGGTCAATTCTGACCGTTGCAGATGCCGATAGTAAATATATCGGATATATATAGCGAAATACATGCAATGTATATATACAAAGGAAGAGGATGTTAGCTAGAATGCTTATATCTCAAGAATGGCTGGACCGATTTTGACAAATTTTGTCAATTCAGAATGCCCTCCTGTCATAAAAGTGTAAAAAAAGATTCCAATAATGTTATTAAATATAAATTTTATAGTATTTTGTGACATTTTTTCTCATATTTTTTATCGCATGCGATTTTTTAAATTTGACTTATAATATTGAAGTGTATATTTGGTAATATTTTTTACCTTACAACACAGATAGCAATTTTTGTCCAATCCTCACGAAAATTTTCATAAGGATACGGTTAGGCTCAGAGAGGCTAGGCCTATTGTTTTCAAAAATGTCTGCAATATATTTTGGGGTTGAAATGGACCAACAACTAAAAATGTTCATGATTTTGGAAATCTCGCATGAAGTTAGAGTTTAGGACAGCGGGTAGAACAAATCACTACTTTTGTGTGAAAATATACCAACATTACTGCCAGGCGATATCCGAAATACACAAAAGGCGAACTTCTTGCTTTTTTATGCTGATTTCGTTGACGAATATATCGTAGACAAGCAAATCATATAGATGAGTCTAAATTTGGATATACAGAGGGGCCTCTTGCTTTCGGAGATGATCGCAAAATATTTAAGGGTTCAAATGAACCAACAACAGAAAAAATTTCCTGATCACACAATTGAAGCGAATCGACAAACCAGAGAAGAGAGTTAAGGACTGGGAAGAATTCTAGCATTTTGGATGACCATTGGATTATATTTAGCTGTAAAATGGACCACAACAACAAACAGCACGACGGAGAGCGTAAATGTTGTTGACATAAGGGGGATTCTAACATAATTTAGTGTTGTAGGGTACCGCATGGTCGGTTGTTTTATTTATTTTTTTTTTTAACCAACAAATATTCGTATAAAAAATTGTTAATGCATATAAAATCAAAAGGGGTAGAAAAGCGCTAGTTTAATATAAAGGAAGTCGATATAGTCCAAATTCGGCGCTTTGTAATATTTATATTTGACTAAGGTTAGATACGAAATCTCAATAATGGGTCATCATTTTAATAATTAAAACCTTGTAAATTTTAATAGTAATAACTGATTTTGGGATATTGGTTATAAAGGGGTATGAGATTGTCACTACTAGTAATGCTGAAAGTGAATCCTAGCCAACCACCTACGTTCCTCTTGCTCTCTGTTATTTTCCAAAATAATTGTCAATTTTTCAACCTCTTTTCCAATATTTATTAAAAAAGAGAAACAATTGGATTATATAGATTCTAATTTATGAATAAATTAAAATAAAAAAATACAACAATTCTCATAACAAATAAATGTATACTAGTTCAAGCATTCTTATGAGAAGCCAAGAATTTACGACAGGCCTGTAAGCAATGGCGATTTAAATAGCTTTCCTGACTAAACGCTTTGGTACACTGTGGACATTGATATTTCCAGTTATGATGACCCTTGGTGCGTTGATGGGCTCTTAGGTTAGATCTGTCAAATAAATAGAAAGCTTTTACAACTGTGATGTGACATTAAATTGTTTCGCTAACCTATCGGCAAAACTTTTTTTGCACGACTCAACGGGGCAAACAAATGGTTTTTCGCCAGTATGTAAACGCATATGACCATTTAATACCCAGGGTCGATCGAACTTTTTGTGACAGTGTTCACACTCATAGGCTTTGTCTAGGTGTTTGATACGCTTAGGTTTGTTTAGACTAGCATCCGTAAAATGTAAATTATGTTGAAAATTATTTGAAGAAATTAACGAAGGATCCTCTTGATGAGTTTGGTAAGACGAACTCGACGACAGCTTCGAGTTTGTTTTAAGAAATACATCCCCATTTTTTGTGGGATTAGACATCATATATGTTTCTTCTTCTTTGATTGTGTTCTCCGAATTCTGGGCATTCCGTTTAACGGCAAGCGTGGTTGAACGAGTCATTGTTTGACTGCTTTGTGCCACTTTTTCGGACGCCTGCCAATAGGTATGACTGAAAGTGCCATTTTTATGGATGTCCGTGTGTCGCTCCATTAGAGTCATATTTAAAATGGCTTCCAGTTCATACCTGGTGGCCATGGGTATAACATCGCTGTCATACCTATGAAAAATTGAGAAAAATAAAATTCCGTTTCTTTTTCACCTCCGAAGAAGTAAAATCTTCTCAACTCACCAATCAGAGGGATCCAAAATACGTTTTGGCCTCAACTTCGGTTTGCAAGATTTCTCAACGCTCGCCTTGGGAACACTTACGTAAAATGTTCTTTTCAATCGAGGTAATTTGGTTATTTTTGGAAAAATGTCAGTTCGACGAAAAACATCTGTAAGTGATTGCATTTATTCACAAGCTTTTTAAAAGTTCACTGTGAATCTTACCATCCAAAGCCTCATTAAGACGTATCTGGGCATAGTTGTAGCGCTGAGAGAAGATGCTCCGTACCATATTGACTTGAAGATATTCTCTGGCTAAGTATTAGAAAAATACTCTCTTAACTATTCCACTGCGATATTTCTTTGCAATACACCCGGTTACTGATTTTATTTTACGTTCTGCTACCAAAGCCAACTTTGTTTTTAAAATTATTCATAAATTCATATCTGAGAGCCGTTTTTATACAAAACATCATACTATGAAGGGTATAATAAATTTGCCATTTTCCCTGTAACTTCCCCACAAAGTGATCAACTTTTCTTGATCGGCATAAAATGTTATGTCTATTTGGCGATGACTGCCCGTCTGTCTGTGGAAATGACTCTATATTTAAGGTAGCCTCATTTCAAATAACAATAATTCAGCTCTTCATTTTCTGTAATTTACCTTGTCAAATTTAAATTCATCAACAAGTAAAAAAGAATTATGTTCTTATGTTTGAAATCCCGAGCTTATACGGACAATGGGATGCCAAAGGATGTAGAATCCTTTGCAAATTCGAAATATCCATATGGCTAGGGAAGGCATATATCATTTGATAACCATAATAACGGTTTTAGACCATAGGTCTCTTTGGACCAAGTCCATTTCAGGACAGTGGGAGGCGATCTGGCGATGTCCGTCCGTATGTCCGTCTGTTTGTCTGGTACGCACAATAACTCTCGAAGGGAGTCTCCGAATTGTTCCAAACTTGGTACATCGTAATATTATTATCAAACTCAGATCGACCTCGGAGATGGGCAATATCGGTCCACTGCTTCTGGTACCTCCTCCGCAAAATGTTAACATTTTTACTGCACAGACAGAGAAAGGATAATCGGATTTCGCTCAAACTTTGTGAATCCTAATATTTGCATTAGTTCTAAGTCATGTGCGATAATGGATAATATTTGTCCACTCCGTCAAGAAAAGGATAATCCGATTTTGCTCCAACTTTGTAAATCCTAATATTTGCATCAGTGCTAGGTCAGGTGCAAAATGGGCAATATCGGTCTACTCCATGAAGTGGCTCTCCCACAAAGGGTCAAAATGTTGAATAGTTACAACTCTAATAAAATGTGATGTAAGAATCTGATTGTCTTCAAATTTCGCACATCCTAATATTTTTATGAACCCAAGATCTGGTATTAAAACGGAATATGTGGGTCCACTCCTTCTGGTACCTCACCCACAAAAAGTAGAAATTTTGGATTTGTTATAAAGATGGTAGATATCGGACCATACCTCCTGGTACCTCCCCCACAAAGGGTCAAAGTTTTGAACAATAAAAACGTTTATAAAATCCGAAATAAGCATCAGATTCTCTTTATATTTCACACGTACAAACATTTTTGCTAACACAAGATCTGTTGTGAAGATGGAATATATCGGTACTCTGTTTCTGGTACCTCCCCCACAAAGGCTCAAAATTTTGAATATCCATAAAGCTCATAAAAAGCGAAGTCATCATTCGATTCCATTCCAGACTTGATACATCTCAATATTTCCATCAACAAGTTCTGTTATAAATATGGTAGAGATCGGACCATATGGTACCTCCCCCACATAGGGTTCAAGATTTGAGAATAAAAACGCTCAAAGAAAGCAAAATAGGAATCCAGCTCTCTTCAAATTTCACACAGACAAACATTTTTGCTAACTCAAGATCTGTTGTGAAGAAGATATATATCTGCGAACCCCTTATGCAACCTCAACCACAAAAGGTCACAATTTTCGATACTTTTGCGAAACAAGTCAACGATTCCTTAACACTTGCTATATCCCAAAATTTCTCTCAACCAGAATATGGAATTATGATTTCGCATAAAATTGGATATAAATATTCGATTTTCTGGTAATTTTGTCCATACCATTATTTTTATCTGTATCAGATAAGTTATGAAAATGGAATACTTCGGCCGACTATATCTCGTACCTCACGCGTATTTTAACATTTTCTAAAAATTATCACATATCTCATATAAAGTGAAGGAAGTAACCAATATAGTCCAAATCTGGCACGTGGCAGTATTTCTATCATATTTATTTGGGTTTAAAACGAAATGGCCAATATTGGCCATCGTACTTTTGTGTCTCGTACCATCGCTCGTTAACGTGATACTGGTAGCGTAGCCCGACGTCAAGGAAGTGGTCGGAAGAAAACAGCAACATCTGCAGAAATGGTTCGAATAGTAAAGAAGCGACTTGATCGAAAACCGCGTCACAGTGGCCGAAAAATGGCTGAGCTGAACATATCGCAATATTCCATTTGGCAAATATTGAAAAATGAGCTCGGGGTAAAGCCATTGAAATGTCAAAAAGTGTAACAACTTACACCGCAACAGAAAGAAAATAGACTCAAAAGAGCTACAGAGTTACTTCGCTTGGCCAAAAGTGGTGAACTGCCGAATTTGGTTTTCTCCGATGAGAAAACATTCGTTGTCCGGCAGTTCGTAAACAAACAAAATTATCATGTTTACTTGCCAAAGAGGTCAGCTGAAAATGTGCACCTTCAGTTGCCCACCAGAACTCAATCGCCGGTCATGGTGATGGTGTGGGCCGCCATAACATCCGATGGTCGCTCCCCGCTCGTATTAATCAACCGTTGCATCAGAATAAATTCCGAATATTATCGCGAAAATATGCCTTGGGCACGCAAACATTTTGGCCGCAGATCTTGGACATTCCAACAGGACTCGGCACCATCGCACTCAGCACGTGCCACTCAAGAATGGTTACAAAATGAGGTTCCTTGCTTCATTTCCAGCGCATAATGGCCACCAAAATCTCCGGATACCAATCCGTTGGACTATTGTGTCTGGAGTATTTTGGAGAGCAAGGTTGGCACTAAAAAATACCAAAATGTCGATCACCTCAAGCAAGCGCTTCGCCGGGAATGGGCCAAAATACCGTAGAGCAACATTTGGGCAGCGTTTGACGGTTTCATTGGCCTATTGAAGGGCATAATCCGCGCCAAAGGTGACCAATTCGAACAAATCTAAACTTATTCTAAAATTTGATGCTATTTCCCACATTTTTCACTTTCATTCAATAAAATTTAAAAAAAAAAATGTAAAAACGATCGCGTTTGACTTTTTGCAGCCAGGTTCTGGAGTACAGGTTCTGGAGTTCGCACAACCACCATGTAACGGTACATCCCGATATTCGGTATTCGGATGATTTTAACCATATTTCTCAACGGATCTTTTCAAAGTCGATATTTGGATTTTCAAGGGGTATCACTTCATACGGCTAACAATTATTTATACAGGTCCACGTATGGATCCATATAAATGTCGAATTTAAACTATTCCCTTAGAGAATGTGGCTAAAATCGTCATATTAACGGTAGGTACAATTATATGGGGTCTATAAGAAAACGTGGACCTATGCCGGCAATATTATTTTGCAGTTAGGGGAACCCGTTACAAATGATTGCAAGTAATGCTCAGAAGAAAGAAATGACTTACCCCTACGACATTTCCATGTAAAATTCGCAAGTATTTATTTATTTTTCTCTTTTAAAATAATTGAAACAAAAATCATAAAATTTATTTCTTAAAATGAATTTTTATTTGTTTTGTTGTATAACAAATATTAAACATAAGTTTTCAAAATATAAAAATTAACATTTCTTAATGTGGGAAATTTACTTTCTTATGTTTTTTTTATTCTTTTTATAAATATTTGTTGCTAAATTATCGCAAAGTTAAGATGAAAAATAATCTCATGTCTTAGACTGAAATAGTTAATGTATAAATGTATTTTCTTAAAAATGTTTAATTAGCACATATTTGATAAGGTTTTTGTTTTGTACAAAACCTAAAAAAAGATACAGAAGAAAGACACAGAGACCCACATGCATATTAAAAATATTTTAATAACAAAATTTTATCTATTTTTTTTCGCAACATTTGCCGGGTGTTTCAGGGAAACTGATTTACATGGAAAACCAAGCAGCAGCAAATAAAAATGGAAAAATAAAAACAAAGCCCTTTTACAAATGAAAACAAATGTCTTATATATTGATAATACAATTATAAGAAAATAAAATTACACAGGATGTCTTAAAAATTATATAATAGAAAATAATTTAAAATAGTTAATTATAAAATACATACAATATTTTCGATAGACGATTCATTACACACATAATTTAATAAAAAATAATTATAAAAACAAACATTCATACAACATTTTATTTTATTTTATTTTTAGGGTTATAAAGAGGGATATTATTTTTAACTCGTATCAGTTTTCTAGATTTATGTATTTTTTTCTTCTTCTTCCTCTTGTAAGTTACACAATATATTTATATATGTTTAGAGTTGAAAACTTTGTATGTTTGTTTTTTTTTTTTGGGTTCTTGTTGACTTTATTTGGGAGGGGCGGAAACGGACGATACGATATCATTGTTTGGTTTACATGTTTCATATATTTATTTATTTATCTTAGTTTTAATTTTTATAGTTTCTATATAAGAGTCCTTTTATTATCAGCATAATCAAATGTTGTTGTAAGTCATATATAAGCTATATACTACATAATATATTTGTTTTACTTTTAATTTATAATTATGCATATAAATCAATTTTTGTAATATTAAAAAAACGAAAAATGTACAATACAAATAAACAATAATTTCATATTTTGTGGTAGTGTGTGGAGTAGTTGAAATATTGGGGAGGGGGATTGTTTTGTGTGTGTATGTGTGTTTGCATGTAAAGTGTGTTTGGTATTTTAATGTAAAATGTGGTGTATTTTTTAAATGTTAATTTCATTAATTCAGCAATTACATTCCGTTAGTGGAAAAAATGTTTGATTTGTTTTATATTTTATTTTGTTTTTGTTTTCTAGGAGAAAAAAATAAATAGTTTACTACTTTTTTAAAGTCCAACTTCAGCAAATATATTCATGGGGTTTCCTTTTGTCAAAATTTTTAATAAAATGTATTTTTTCTTTTTGATTTGAAATCATTTCTTTGTATTGTGAGAATTTTCGTAATATTTTATTTTTCGCTTGCAATTTTTATTGAAAACACCTCTACTTTTTATTTAAATTTTTGTTTAACTTACATTGTCAATTTCTTTCCATAGTTGTTCTTCCCGTTGTTTTAAATTGTTTATTTTGTTTTGTTCTTCAAGGAAAATAATCTAAGTCAGTCTCTTTTTTTGTAATTTTTGTTATAATTTTCAAGGTATTTTTCTACTTTCAAATAATTGAATGGTATCGCGTAATATTGCATTCAGTTTTTTTTTTTTCTTTCGAAAAAAATTTTAAATCTTTTTTGTTTAGCTATAATAGTTGTATGTGTGCTGTTCAAGACCAATATTGCCAAAAAATAAAATTAAAGAATAATTATGTTACAAATAATGGCTATGATGAGGTTTAGGCTGATGATGGTGATGGTTAAAGATAGGGCGATGCAATGGAATTGTCGTTAATTTGGGCTTGTCTCAAAATAAAGTAAAATGCTGATCGAACTTGGCCAAATTTTCCTACGAGTGTAAAAAAAGATAAATAAAAATAAGTATAAAATGAAAAATATCAAAACATAACCATTTATTATTAAGACAGCACAACTCAAGGAGTTATCTAGAAGATTTACCAACTAATTAAAGAAAGTGTTTATTTACAGAACATAGGAAATTTCTACTATTGTTTACGACCTCAAAAACTGGGAATATCTAACCAAGCTGATATTGAATACTTTGATTTCATTTCCTAGGCTTACTTCATAAAAAATGAAGCTCTCAATTATGTTGATTACAATCCCCCAATTATATATACCCAAATTCGACAAAATATATCAACCCATGGTACAATGAAGACAAGGTAGGCTAATTATGAAAAAAATTCAAGTCTAGAGGTCTACCTGTTTGGCTTGTAATGTCAGAATTACTATCAAAACAATCAACGCAATCTATATTTTCATTTGTCTATGGTCTTTACCATTTTAGGTCTTTGTTTACATATTTAGTAGAGCTTTACATAACAAATAAAAGTTTTTTATGGGGAATTTGTGAGAACTAAATCATATCCAAAGGAACTAATATATGAGAGGAATATCCACCTATGAATTGATTTCGACTAAATTTACCGAGTCAATTGTGCCTTTTCAATTCGGGCTTGGGTAATATTTGGTGCACAATTTACTTAAAATCGGATAGCGATATATATGGGAGCTATATCTAAATCTGAATCGATCTCGATAAAATTTAGCAAAGGTATTTTTGAGTTGTATTTCATATACTTCCCCGAATATCGTTACAACGGAGTGCATATTACGGCTGCGGAGGACAAAAACAAAACAAATCGGATGAACAATATATATGAGAGCTATAGCTATATCTGAACCTATTTCGATCAAGTTTGACATACTTGTTTCTAGACTCAATTTGGTCGTAAGTGCCAAATTCCATCCCATTTGGTCTAATATAACAAGTATGGTGCGCAATAAAAAGCAAATCGGACGAAGTTATATATGGGAGCTATATCCAAATCTGACCCGATCTAGATAAAATTTTGCAAAGGTATTTCTGAGTTGTATTTGATGTATTTCCACGAATATCGTTACAACGGAGGGCATACTACGGCTGTGCGGGACAAATTCAACAAATCGGATGAACAATATATATGGGAGTTATAGCTTTTATCTTAACCGCCAAATTTGACGTACTTGTTTCTATACTCAATTTGGTTGTAAGTGCCAAATTCCATCCCATTTGGGCTAATATTACACGTTTGGTGCACAATAAAAGGCAAATCAGACGAAGATATATATGGGAGTTGTATCTAAATTTTGACCGATTATCTCCAATTTAAATAGGCTTCGTCCTTGGGTCAAACAAACTATTTGTACAAAATTTCATCTGGATTGGGTAATAAATGTGACCTCTATTTTGTTTACAAAAATACATTGACGGGCAGACGGATATGCATAAATCGACTCATAATGTGATTCTATGCAGATCATTAAAACGAATTATGGGCTTATCTGGTTTCCCTTTGCTTGTTACAAACAAATGCACAATGACATAATTCCCTGACCACCTTGTGGTGTTGGGTATAAAAATTTGAATCACTGATTTTCGATGCTGGGATATCCAAATATTCTGTGGAATAAACTATCGCTACATCAGACATATAGAGGTTAACATTTCACAAAGATTCAAGTTATCGCAATTCAATTTGTTCAGATGATTTTTTTAACATAATGAATGAGAATTAAAGACGGTTGAAGCATTTTAACATGTAAAAAGGACATTGTAAATGGATAACTTTATTTTCTTTTCACATACAGCTCCAATATTTTTTTTAAAAAGGCAGAATTACATATCGAACGAAATTTTATATGTTATCCAATAAGAAAAGGGAAAGGTACCCATGGACTTAGCAAGTGCTGGAATAAAAGTAACATTCCTGGATATGTGCAGATAGAAAAGGAAATTGTTCTACATTAAAAATTTAAAGGCACTAATGTGTTGTGTAAAATTCTATGTTAGTCCTTAATTTGAGAATTTCATGTGCATTTTAATTTATAAAAATTTTTATATTGAAAAATCACATGATATTTTTTCAATAGAAACATGAATCAACCAATTCAAATTGCATAAAAAAAGAGAATTTGAATAGATATACAGATTTTTTGAATTGTACCCAAAAAAAATTTAACTGAAATTCTTACATGTCTAGTAAGACATATGTACATTGCTTTTAGAAAAGCAATAACAGCATTATAAGCACAATTATGAAACCTAATCACTGACTGAAATGTCGTTCAATATAGTTGTCTCCCCACATACATTACATAAGTTATTGTGATGTTTGTATAAATATATGTTAGAAACTCATCTAGCTTAGAAGAAGTTTAAAGTTCGGAAGTAGATATAATTATTGCTCTGTTCCCGAACTGCAAGAATGTATAATTTTTTACTACGGTAAACGATTTTCCCTTTATGATATCGAAACCAGTAAGGAAAAGTCAAAAGTCGGGCGGGGCCGACTATATGATACCCTACACCACTATGCATATTTAGTAGATCTAGCGTAACAAAAGAATTTATATGAAGTAGATCATACCACCTATCAACATTTGGTTTTAGAGCAGTTCTAGTTTGGTTTCAGACGGAACTAATATATAGGGAGCATATCCAACTCTGAATCGATTTTTACTGAATTTAATGGATACATTTAACATTCCTATAGCGTGATATCTCTTCGAGAAGACTTATATTAAAGAATATATATTGGATCCAGACTGATATTAGCCATTATTTGCACAATAAATCTGAAATCGGATTAATACGTTAGCTACATCCAAATCTTAGTCGCTCTCGATAAAATTTGACAAAAGTATTTCTGAGCTCTATAAGATATCTGATCCAAATATCAGTGTTGTCAAATCGGATGAAACATACATATGGGACCTATAGCTATATCTGAACCGATTTTCTAGAATTTGATGTACTTGCTTCTAGACTGAATTCGGTCGGATGTAACAAAAGTTCAAGAATTTTTGACAGATATTGGCAATTTGGTGTACAATTAACACAAAATCGGTTGGGGTATATATATGGTAGCTATATCCAAATCTGATCCAATCTTGATAAAATTTGGCAGAGACATTTCCGAGCTCCATAAGATATCTGCTACCGAATATCCTTTTTGTCGAATGTATATTACGAATGTGAGGTACTTAAACACCAAATCGGATGTAACATATATATGGGAGCTATATATCTAAACCTATTTTCTCCAAATTTGATGTACTTGACTGAATTCGGTGCAAAATTTCATCTCAATCGGATAATAAATGCTACCTGCATTTTGTTCGCAAGAATACATGCATTTTGTTCGCAAGAATACATGGACGGACGGACTGACTGACATGCATAAATCGACTCAGAAAGTGATTCTATCAAGATCCTCAAAAGTAACTAATTGTCTATCTCGCTTCCTTCTTCCTGTCACAAACAAATGCCTTACCAAAGACCTAATACCCTTACCACTATGTGGTGTAGGGTAAAGAAATGGCAAAGCTAGTCTTGCTGGTTCTGAAACAGAGCATATATATTGGTGAAAAGTGTTTCTTTTTTGGTTACTGTTTCCTGTAAAACGGACATGAAATATTTCTACATTAATATAATACACTAACACATAGAATGTGACATAGATATTACAAAAAATATTAGTCTAGAACAGCAAATTTCTTTTAAAACGGCTACAAGTTTTGCAACAACAAGTATACGATTTTTGTGCAAAACATCATTATCGTTTGTCAAAAATAAAAATGATTAAATCTTTTAAAGATGTATACATAGATAAGGGCAAACACAACAATAGAAGCGATACGAAAATAAATATTACAATATTACGGATCATTACTACCATCACTAATAATTCAGCAAGAATACAAATAGCAGTAATATATAGACAACTTAAACAATTTTACAAAGAGTCCTGATGGAATTTCAATCAATTCGGAAGTAGTAAATCCATTAATTAATAGCTTGTTCGGTCATTTGAAGACACAGGGTTTCCAATTGCTCAAGACTACTGGCGTCATTTAAACAATCCGAATTGGAATTACAATTGGAAATGGTAGATGCTTTTGAGACATCTGTGGCATTGTTGGTGGCAGATGAGGAAGTTTGTGATGGGTGAGGGGAATAGTTTTCATTGAGGGTGGGTAGTGTTAGGTTCAGGGGCGAGGGTGTGCAACAACTACTGACACCACAGTTACTACTATGACCATGGCTAAGACTGTGGCCATGACTGTTACATGAACTACCAACAGCGGCAGCAGCTGCAGCCAACAGTTGCAATTGTTGCTGCTGTTGTTGCAGTAAAATGTGTTGCTGCTGTTGGTGTTGCAGATTGTTAGTACTATTATTACTGTTATTATTGTTGGTGGTGATTAGTATTTGGGGAGGTGGTGGGGGAGGTTGTGATGATGTTTGAGATTGAGAGGGCGTTGGTGGTAAGACGACACTGTTACTGTTTGCATTTATGACTGTTCCAGAGCCAGTCGCTTGCATGAGATCATCAGTACTAACCATAACGACAGCGGCCATTGTTTTCTTTGGCACAGATGCGGCAGCCGATGACGACGATGAGTTGTGGTGTTGTTGCAACGATTCCAAATTATTATTGTTTTGATTATTAACATTGTTATTGTTGTTGTTAATAGAGGTAAGGCTAGCTTTCCTTGCTTGTTGATGTTGTTGTTGCTTCTGATTGATCATATCAATCCTTGACATTTCCTCATTGTTCATAACATTTGTTGTGGACAGTATAGCCTGACCCGGTTGGAATATCATTTTTTGTGGCTGTTGTGGTCCGCCAGAAACCACAATCAAATTATTGAGTGAACGTCGATGTTGTTGGTTGTGTTGCTGTTGTTGTTGTTGCTGCTGTTGTTGATGTTGCAATTGCTGGTTATGATGATGCTGTTGTTGCAAACAACTCAGAGAAAAATTTAACATATCATTGGAATTTTTACGATGATTTATACGATCACTGCTGCCATTTTTCTGATCACATTTGCGTGCTTTGCCATTCCACCTGGAAAATTGAAAACTATAAAAATTACTTTGTGTTCGCATCAGAGAAATTAAACAAAGAAAATGCTTAAAATAGTCGTTTTGAAAAAACGCCAAAAGATAAAGCTTAAATATTGTAATAATAAATGCTAAGTTGACTTTAATCTTTATAAGTCGATTAAAGTTGCGTATACATGAGATATTTATTAACAAACATTATACGCACGCAGCCAGCAGTATTTTCCAGATGGCGCAACATTTGCTCTTACCGTGAGAATATTTCCATCTATTATTGATCACAACTCGTACATCAGAGACAAATGTCAGTGCATCAATCAATGTAGATATGACTTGTTCCGTAACTAAATTGGGATTTTTTGTTTTTTATTGTTTATACCCAATCTAATAATAATCTTAATTTTAGTACTTTAATTGCTATATCTTCACAAAGATATAGTAATCAGCAAATTTATACCTTAGCGAATATGTATAGCACACTCATATTAATTTCGCCAATGTCTAGAATTTGTAGTTAACTTTGTCCTCTTCTCAAAAAATAATAAAGAAGTTAGAAAGTTTCTGTCGGTGCTCCGACAAATATATGGGCCAATTGACGAATTTTTTCATATTTTATTGAAAGAAATGGATTTTTCGCAATATTTGGTATCATTACCACCTCCAATCCAATAGCATTCCTAGAAATTATGAAAAAAATATAAACGCTAATTATTTAAAGAAGCTAAACAATGTATGATCAACTATTGGTCACTCCAATTGCGTGAATTAAAGCCCACGTATTCGAAGCACAAACTGATAAAAACAATTAAAAAAAAACAGGTAGGATCAGCCGGACCGAACTTTTAAAACCCTCCTATAATTTGGAAGTAACTTGAAATTTTTCAAAAAACAAAAGTGTAAGGAAAAGTCAAAAGTCGGGCAGAGAAAAAAAAACGGGTAGGATCAGCCGGACCGAACTTTTAAAACCCTACTATCATTTGGAAGTAACTTGAAATTTTTCAAAAAACAAAACTGTAAGGAAAATTCAAAAGTCGGGCAGAGCCGACTATATGATACCTTACGCCACTATGGATATTTGGTAAAGCTAGCAAAATAAATTTATTTGAAGTAGATCATACCACCTATCAACATTTGGCTTTAGAGCAGTTATAATTGGGTTTCAGAAGGAATTTATACAGGGTGAGATAAAAAAAACTGCAACAAAGTCAAACGCCAAAATTTTTACATTTTTTTTTTTGAAATTTTATTGAAAGAAAGCATAAAATGTCGGAAATAGCATCAAATTTTAGAATAAGTTTAGATTTGTTCGAATTGGTCACCTTTAGCACGAACTATGGCCTTCAAACGGCCAATGAAACCATCACACCCTGCTCTGCGGTATTTTCGACCATTCCCGGCGAAGTGCTTGCTTGAGGTGATCGACACTTTGGTAATTTTAAGTGCCAATCTTTTGCTTTTTTTGCTTTCCAAAATACTCCAGACACAATAGTCCAACGGATTGGAATCCGGAGATTTTGGTGGCCATTCTGCGCAGGAAATGAAGCGAGGAACCTCATTTTGTAACCGGCAGTTGTCCACTTTCGGCCAAGCGAAATAACTCTTTAGCTTTTTTGAATCTATTTTCTTTCCGTTGTGGTGCAAGCTAGTACAAAATGAGTGCATACTTTCCATCGAAATAAATTGTTTGTACGCTTTTTTAGCATTAAAAAATATTATAGATCAGTCTGCATAGTCCGACTTTTTCTCACTATCGTTGTATTTACTAGTGAAGATGTAAATGTATAGAAGTGCGGTTGTAAGATTTAGAACACTTCCGAAAGAGTTTTAGTTTTTTTTTAATTCTTTGGTTCCTATTCTACTGGGCCTACGATCGTCACTTGGGTACAAAAAAGTTTTAGTCATACGAATACCTCTTCGCCACTAATCTTTCACCACTGATAACTAAACGTAGTTTTTATAAAATCTGTAATGGGATTAAGTTTGACTATTTTGCCACAACTAAAAAATTATATATGTAACCTCCTTTTTTCATCTATTGAAAACAGATATTAACAGTGTTTACGTGTAATTTTTTATTAAATGTATGGCAGTTCAGTAAAATTTGTAAACCAGGTTTTAACAATTTTCTAAACAATGCCGCAGTGAGTCGCAACCAAAAGATGAGAAAAATTATGGCCTACGCCATATCGGTTTATAAGAGTTCGTTATATACACATTTTCATATATAAAACACCCCCAGACATTGACCTCAAGTTCCTTACACGATATATATCTTCAAATAAGTACTGTTATACGAGAAAAGCTACGTCATTTCCTTGCATCTTTTATATTATTAATCTATAAACCACCACAGAAATCACTGTCGGCGGTTTCATCTGAAAAATCCTAATCAGATAGATTTATTTTTGTAATCCGATTACAGGCCATCATCGATTGTAATTATTCATATATAAATGCGTTTTCAAATGCAAACGGTAACATTCGTTATTTTTCTGCCAGAGAACTAAGTGTGTTTCTTGTTATTTTGTAAAACGACCGGTCGTTATACTTAGAACAATGAACAGCTGTTTACGATCGTCTCCACTATTAGTGATGATATTTCTAGTGATTAAACAACAAGCTATTTGCGAGCTTATCAGACTTCCAACACCTGCCCTAACAAGTCGAAAAATCATACTCAATCATCGCCAACTAAAATCAATTGAAGCTTCAATGGACCTGAACACCGATCCGTGTGAGAATTTCTATCAATATGCCTGCGGCAATTGGGATAGTATGCACACAAATGTCACCAAGTATCATGACTATTATCGAATGATTGAATATTACACCAACAGAGAAATGGCCATTGCATTGAGCAAGAAAACAACGCTAACAAAGGAGCCGAAATTTGTGGAGAAGGCTCGCGCCTACTTTAAATCTTGTACCAGTATGAGACATCTAGATTTAAGGCAATTTCTCAAATGGTTGGACGATAATGAAAATTTGAGAACAGTTGTCGGAGGAACAAATGGAAATGCAAGTACTGATTATCCAGATTGGATACGGAATTTAGCTGTTTTAAAAAAATATGGCTTAAGTGGCATCTTTATGGATGAAATTTATTTTAAAGATCTAAGAATTTTTAAGCTTAGCCGGCCTATAAAGAGCAATGGTTTTGTAAAATTTCCCTACCAAACCTATCATGTGTTGGCCAAGTCATCGTTTGGCTGGAAAAATGAAACATTAAATGATAAATGGATACAATTTTCGAGCTTGGAAAATGATTTACAAAATCTACAATTAACTACCAATGGAACCCAAAAATCGTTTAATATTTTTACAATTCAAGAAATACCCTGGCTCAAGTATTACATGGATACGCTGTTGGAAAATACTCAAATTCCAGTGAAAAATCTTAGAATCTTTGTTTCAGATATGACATACTTAACAAGGCTTTATAGATTGTTGTATACCTACGATGCCGAGTTTATTGGCGAATATTTGCAAATAAGATTCCTCTGGAGCGTACTCACCAATGGTTATACAAAATTTACTCCCGATATGTGTGCACTGAAGACTCGACAATTTATGTATTTGGCCACGGACTGGTTGTATGAACATCAACATCCTGTTTTGGTAAAAAGTGTTCCGAAAATTGAATTCATATTCCAGAATATTAAGGAACACTTTAGGAAACTTTTACTAACCAATCCAAATGGTTTCGACAAAAACGTTATGTCATTTCTTTTAAAGAAGTTGAACAGTATTCAACTACAAGTTGGACATTTGCCCCGAACTAATACCCAAGCGAAACTTGAAAATATCTACAAACATTTGAATATGAATGAAAGCAACTTTTATCACAATCAAATGCAATTGTTGAAATTCCAAACAAATAACACCTTCCTCAATTACATTGCCACACAAAATCGCTCAGAATACATAGAACACACAAAGAAGTTATCGCCCTATTTTCATCGGATTTACAATACTGTGGTATTACCCATAACCACATTGCAATTACCCATCTACGATGTGAACTTGTATGACTTGTACCAATACAGTTCGCTTGGTTATATATTGGGCCATGAAATAACACATGGCTTCGACACTTTGGGTACTCAACGAGATCCGAATGGTCGCAAATTGACAATTTATCATGATATGATTAATGCAAATGCTCGATTTAAGGAAAATCTAGAGTGTATACGCAATTTAAACAATGGACGAATTGATGAGAAAATAGCCGATGTAACTGGATTCCGTGTGGCATTTCAAACCTATTTTGAAATGCATCCAAATGCCCGACAGCAAACTCTAAATGTAAACGGTAGAAACTTGACCCTGGACAAGGTATTCTTTCTCAATCATGCACAATTCAGATGTACCTCAGCTAAAGCGAATGTTTTCTCGGATAAAACTCATGGCACTGCAGAAGATCGTATCGTAGATGCACTTTCACATTTTCCAGAATTTGTTAAAACATTTCAATGTTCTAAATACTCAGATATGTATTTAGAGAAAACATGTCAGCTATGGAGAAGATGAATGAATATTTTGGAGATTTAGTTGTATATATGTAAATATTGTTTTCATATAATTTAATTAAAGAGCAAGAAAGAACGAAAAACTAGCCATTGCAGATGACATTTGCCCGCTAAGAAAAAAGAATTTATTTTTTGATGTATACTTTAATCATTAACAAGTAATCGAGCGGCTAAGTAGATTTTTATTCCTTCGGAAGGGGATGGGACATCCATACTTAGGCTTAGAAGGAAATTCAAAAAAAGTAAAAATCAACGATATCCTCATAAATATAATAAGAACATTCCTCAGTTTTTGTATAAAACAGAACTAAATATTGAATATGTTTTTAAACATTTTTGTGGGGACGATTTCTGTAAAAAACTATGTGAACCGAAAACACGCATTGCATATAGTGTGAAAGAATCATTGCATTCATTTAAAAATCATTAACCTATAATTGTGAAGCCATTAACCCTATACAATCATCTGAATCATTTTGCACATTATAAT